GGAGATTGTCTTGACCATGTCTACATGCCTAAATGCACTGAGTTGCCGCCATGTGATTGGCTGATTAGAAATTAAGTGTTAACGAGCAGTTGGACCGGTGTACCTAATAAAGTGGCCGGTGAGTGTATTTTTCCATGTAAAGACCCTGTCACACTAGACAACCTATGAACATTTTAAAGGCATCTACATTGAAGATGGAATTGAAAACAATCAACAGGAAGCTTCTTTTCAACGTGTACGTAATATAATTTGAACAAATTGATCAAATATATAACTTATTAGCAATTTAGACATAAAAAATGTTTCATAGGTTGTCTAGTGCGACAGGTCCTTTTCTAAAACAAGTTTGTTAGTTAGCAAGAAATTATAACTAAGCTTAAAGACTCCTGAGCTGTTCAGTCCAACTTCTTGCACTGCAGTGTTCTGAAAAATGTTTGTTCTTGGAGGCCAAAGCTTCTTCTAGATTAAACTTCAGACATTTTATAATAACTACCTTCTTTTGGCAGCTGTCATGATTTTTAATAACTAATAGAAAACCAGTACTATTCGTGGTCAGATCCAACTAGAAAGGACAGGTTGTCCAGTAGTAGAACAGCCTATATGTGTTCAGGATTTTATGCTGGTAGGTTTTGATCATGTGGCATCTGTTCATATACAGACTTTAAGCTGCTGTTCCTTATTTCACTCTATCAGCTGCAGATAGTAACAGTTGAAGTAAATACACTTTGCACCAACACCAGGCTTTTAAAAAATTGCATTTAATCAAACGTGACCACAATCATCCTTCAGTCTGAGAGCCAAAGATTGTTACAGGCACTTTTTTAATCCTAATTTCTCAGGCATTCTAACAGTGATACCTACACATTCATATTTAATTACTTATACTTGTAGAACCCCTCTCCAGTCTTTCTGCCAAGCTTGCCCTCCGCAACCAGCTTGTTCAGCAATTCGCTCTGGGCGAAAAGCGGGTTGTCAGGACTGTTTGCGCTCCAACCTGAAGACGCAGAGAGGCAAGGAGTTCAATTTGCTTCTGCTGAAAGTAGCTCTGCTTACCTCTTCATACAGTCCATATAGCACATTTCTGCACAGAAACTCTCACTGTGCTTTTCAACAAGGACAAATATACAATTTTAAAATGTATAAAACTCAACAAAATAATTCATAAAGTAAACCTGTAGTAAAAGAAGTATTAAAGTGCTGATACACTAACTTGTCTTACTCACCATCTACAATGAATTTCACTGTGTCCAGACCCACATAGTCACTGAGCTCAAAGGGCCCCATGGGATATCCAGCACCAAGTTTCATGGCAATATCAATGTCTTCTTTACATGCGTCTCCTGGAGGAGAAAGCCAGAGGGCAGAATTAAAAAAAGTAAAGTCATTTAAAGTTAACAGAAACTGAAGTGAAGTCTGTACACACCTCTCTCGTACAACCGGAGGGCCTCCATCATGTAAGGAACTAACAGACGGTTTACAATGAAACCAGGTGTATCCTGTAGGAGGAGAGGTCAGGTGCAAAAAATAAAAACAAACATGATCATTTTTCTGTCTTTGGAGTAGACTTGAGAAGTCATCCTGTGGTGTTTTGTATGTCAACACTGCTGCATCAGTCGGAACATTACGGTAAAACCTTTGTCGGTTCTGTGAGTTCTGCCGGTTCCTCTCACCTTGCAGGACACCGGTGTTTTTCCAAGAGCTTTGCTGAAGTTCAGGAGGGAATCAAACGTCTTCTGGCTTGTGGCCGAGGTTCCAATAACCTGGGGAGGATTATTATTATTATTATTATTATTATTAT